CTGGAAGGCGCAGTTACCCCCAGTTCCCGGGCCCCTGGCAGGCTGGCTGACGGGGGCGGGGCGCCCCGGGGCGGCTGGGCCCTGTTGCCGCCGGTTGCACATCCCTTGGCTCTGGGAGCAGCAGTGTTTGCTGGGCTGGGTGGCCGCTTTTGTCACTCCTGTTTGCCCAGCCCCACAATAGCGAGCGGCTGTTTGATTAGAAGGTGGCAGCCGGGTGGATCCCGTGCACCTGAAACGTGAGCTGGGCTCTCCGGTTCTACCACAGGGCAGGATGCGGGGGCTGAGTCATGCCCGGGGCAGGATCGAGGGCTGGGCCCACAGTAGCTTTTTTTTCTCACCTCTCAGTCACCGGTTTGAAGCCAGCCGAGGCTGGGTAGTGAGCTGAGCTACTTCCTAGGGGTGTCAGATCAGAGCCTGGGAAACCCCTTCAAGGATCAGCGTTTCCTAGGTTTTCAGAGCAGAGGGAACCATGAGCCCATGTAACGCACCGCCCCAGCCAGAGCATTTCACCCGCTCGCCCCGGTCCTCAACTCCTAGCTCTGCCTGGGTCCGGCCTCCAGCAGTGGAAACTCCACCGCAGCCGTGAATCCCCCTGGTGCTTTATTCCTACATGACTTTTGCCTGGCTTCGCGCTGCCTTCTCTGCTTGGCTAATGGGCCCTTTAGTAGCAGGAAGGCACTTAGAGGCTGTGATCGGCTAAACAGCCAGACTCCTCGTGTCTCTCACTCTCGACTTGGGGGGCTTGGCGCTGGACAAAGCAGACAGCCCTTGCTCCAGAGAGCTGGCGAGTTCGGTTTCATCCCAGGCCGGATCTGAGCGACACGGGCCCGGGTAACAAAAGCCACCCGAGCGGTCGAGGCCTCTCACAAAGAGTTGGTGGGTTTCCCCGTACAGGCCCGGCTCCCGCAGTCCCGTCACTACAGCAGCAGCTGGTGGCTCGTTGTAAAACGATCGAAAACTTTCTAGCTCGAGTCGTCTGCAGAGAGCGGGTGGGAAACGCGACCCTGAATAGCGCAGAAGCCCCCAGGCGAATAAAGAGAGCCCAGGCTTGTTGTTTAGTGAAATCCCACGAGCGCAGGGTGGGTGACTGGCCTGCAGAGAGAGAGGCCACCAGACAGACGGTCCGGCCTGGGGCTGGGGAGAGCTCGCCAGGGCGTCACTCATGCGCTACCTGCGCGAGTGTTAAAGAAAGGACGTGGGACTCCAGTAGCCATCAGCCCTGAAACTCACTAGAGGTGAAACCCCCCAATGCAAAGACTTATGTCCTGCTTCCGCTCAAGCGGCTCCTGACTCCAGGCCCTTGTACGGGGCGGGAGGTGCGCCATCGCCTTCACCTCTCCGTGACTCTGAGGCCCTGGGGAGGGAGTGGGCAGGAAATTGCACGCTTGGTTTGCATGCTCCGGGGGTGGTTTGATTTCTCAGGGATGGAGCGGGAAGCCACAAAAATTGCAATTTGCATCCAAGCTGGGTGTGCTCAGGGGAGTTATGCTGTCGGCGTGCTGGATGAAATTCACCGCTGGATACGGGGCGGGGGGCAGGGTGGGAGACCCACAGGACCCTGTTTCAGCCCTTCCTGGGGGATCTGCGTGACAGGGAGGAGGAAGCCGGGGTTTATCAAGGATGCTGGGTGCTCCCGGGGGTTACAGTTCAGCGGGATCCACACAGCACCTTGGCTTTGCAGCTGCGTGAGGGGGCTGGACTCTCACGCTGCTCTGCAGGGTGCACGGGGGCATGGGGACAGGTGGCATTGGCGGGCATAGGGAGTGACCCAGTGCAGCAAGTTCTCCTCCATCCGTCCAGTGCCCAGCGGCGCCCGCTCCGCTCTCACACGGCACGGGGATGGAGGCTGGTGCTGAGTGCAGCAGGAGGGGGACCAGGAAATCAGAAGTGGCCTCAGCTGTGGAGGTCCCAGCAGGATCTGCTCCCCGCCCAGGGGATGCGCTCGCGTGGCTGGGACAAATCCTGCGGTTTAAATCAGCCCCTGGACACGCGACCAGCTGCCCCCCACACGCATGCAGCCAGGGTGGGCCACCGGCCCCCAGCGTCTGCCTCCCACACGCCCGGCGCTCACAGGAGCCTTGCTTAGAGCCCCTGCACTTCCCGACCCTGCGGAGAGGCGACTGACGGCCCTTGGGAGCGAGACCGCTAGCCACAAACCCACCCCTGCCGTACCGGGGGCCGGCTAAGGGAGAGGGGAGCCTGCGAGCCAGGGGTTATGGCAGTGGACAGGACGCTCCCCGGCGGCTGGTGGATTGAGACTGGGAGCGCTCTGGGGCAGGGCCTGGCTCTCTCTAGCCCCCGGCTCTAGCCGCCATGGGGACACCCTTGGCCTCTCTGCTGAGATGTGACCATGAGGGTCAGTTCCCACCTGTCCCCCGTAGGGGCTCGAGTCCCACTCTTCCCTCCCCCGCCCAGACCCACTTGATTCAGGCCACCAAATTGGCAACAAATCCCCGGCCCGGGCCCCCCAACCCAGGAGCAAAGTCAAGAGAGCTCCATGGGCCCGTGGTCGTTACCGCCCTGGGCTGGATTTGAACCCGTGGCCTAGAGGCGACAGGCTCTTCTCTTCTGCAAGCAGCAGCACTT